GTTTCACCATGTTGACCAGGATGGTCTCGATCTCTTGACCTCGTGATCCACCCGCCTTGGCCTCCCAAAGTGCTGGGATTACAGGCGTGAGCCACTATGCCTGGCCCCTTTCTTTTTTTTTTTTTAAAGATGGAGTTTCACCATGATGGCCAGGCTGGTCTTGAACTCCTGACCTCAGGTGATCCATCCACCTCTGCCTCCCAAAGTGCTAGGATTACAGGTGTGAGCCACCATGCCCAGCTTGCTTGCTGCTTTCTCTCTCTCTCCCTTCCTTCCTTCCTTCCTTCCTTCCTTCCTTCCTTCCTTCCTTCCTTCCTTCTTTCTTTTTCTTTCTTTCTTCTCTCTCATTCTTTCTTTTTTGAGACAGGATCTTGCTTTGTTACATAGGCTAGAGTGTTGTGGCACAATCACATCTCATTGCAGCCTCCACCTTCTGGGCTCAAGCGATCTTCCCACCTCAGCCTCCTGAGTAGCTGGGAATACAGGCATCACAACCACACCCAACTAACTTTTGTTCTTTTATTTTTGGTTGGGGATGGAGTCTTGGTATGTCACCCAGGCTGGAGTGCAGCAGCAGGATCTCAGCTCACTGAAATCTCCACCTTCTGGGTTCAACTGATTCTCCTGCCTCAGCCTTCCAAGTAGCTGGGACTACATGCGTGTGCCACCATGCCGGGCTAATTTTTGTATTTTTTTAGCAGAGACGGGGTTTGACCATGTTTTGACCAGGCTGGTCTCACACTCTTGACCTCAGGTGATCCACCCACCTCGGCCTCCCAAAGTGCTGGGATTATAAGCATGAGCCACTGTGCCTGGCCAACTTTTGTAATTTTTTGTAGTGACGGGGCCTCTCTACGTCCCGCAGTCTGACCTCAAACTCCCGGGCTCAAGTAAGCCTCCCACTTCAGCCTCCCAAACTGCTTGGATTACAGGCTTGAGCCACTGTGCCCAGCCCTCCCACTTTCCTTTTTTTCCCTTCATCTTAGTTTTAAAAATTATTATTATTATTATATATTTTTTGAGACACCCACTCTGTCACCCAGGCTGGAGTGAAATGGTGCCATCTTGGTTTGCTGCAACCTCTGCCTCCCAGGTTCAAGTGATTCTCCTGTCTCAGCCTCCCGAGTAGCTGGGATTACAGACATGTGCCATCATGCCCAACTAATTTTTGTATTTTTAGTAGAAACAGGGTTTCATCATGTTGGCCAGGCTGGTTTCAAACTCCTGACCTCAGGTAATCCACCCACCTCAACCTCCCAAAGTGCTGGGATAACAGGCGTGAGATATCATGCCCAGCCCCTTTAAAAAATTATTTAATTTAATTTAATTTATTTGGAGACAGGGTCTCTCTCACCTAGGCTGGAGTGCTGTGGTGAGATCTCGGCTCACTGCAACCTCTGGCAACCTCCATCTCCCGGCTTCAAGTGATCCTCCTACCTCAGTCTCCCAGGTAGCTGGGACTAGGACTGCAGGCATGAGCCACCATGTTTGGCCAATTTTTTCCCTTCTTTGTGGAAACAGAGTTTTGCCATGTTGCCCAGGCTGGTCTTGAACTCCTGGACTCAAGCGATCTGCCTGCCTAGGCTTCCCAAAGTGCTAGGATTACAGGCATGAGCCACCACACCCGGCCCGGTCCTCCCACTTTCAGTTTAGTCCACCTCCATCTTCCTGAAGGGGCCATTGTAGAATTTCCCCATCCCCAGGCTTCTACTTTTGGTGCCCTTCTGGCCCATTTAAATTGCAAGTTGTCTTAGACTTTCATGCAGCTTACAAGTTCCTGTGTTGTCCTGGCCCTGATCATGTCTCCAGCCTTGTCTCTTTGCATCTTACTCCTGGAGTTCCCATCCCTTGGTTTTTGCCTATGCTGTTCCCCTTGCTCAGAATCCTCTCCTGTGTCTTTCACCCATCCCCAACTTCTGGCCCTGGTCTGTCCTGCCTGCTCCCTTCTGTCCTTTACCTCAGCATAGGTTGGGAGCCTGCCTGGCTACTCTTGCCTCAATAAGGACCATTGTGATGGTATCCAAAATGCTTGAAACTCCTTTAGGCAAAACAAGGAACTGATTGTAAGGATTGTAAAGAACTGATTGTATGGGGGTGTTCTTTAGACTCCACAGGCAAGAACCCCTAGTCCTTCCCTCCCTCCCTCCTCTGGGGCTCTTAGCCCAGTGCTTTCTGTCTGGTTGCTTCATAGCTCTGCATCTTTGAAACTTGACTCCAAATCCTGGAATATAGAATCTAATTGGCCCACCTATAATGAGGTAATCTCCCTGGGCCAATTAGCTACTGGTAGGGAACTAAGACTCATAAGACACATAGGGTGTTCAGGCCTCGATCCTGAGTGGGTAGGCAGTCTAGAGGGGAAGATGGGCTAAAAGACCCCGAAGATGTCTCCTATAGCTCCCTCAGGGAGAATTTACCCTGTGCTCCCCTCTTGCAGTGGTGTAACTACCACTGCCTGCTACTGTTTAACCTCCTTCAGTGGACATACAAGCTTAGGAAAGAAGCCAAGTTGTATAAATCTGTCTCCAGGTCCAAAATGAAATTTACTCAGTAAGTATTTGTGGAATGAAGTGCAAAGAAAGTACAGAAAAAGAGTTGGCCTTCGGGTTCTTGGAGCTATCACAAAACAGGTGAAATTTGGGCTGAGCTTTAGAGGGAGTAGATTTATTAGCTGGGAATGGAGGTTTAGCAAGAGAGATGGATGACCCTCTGGCTTGAACTGGACCAGTCACACATTACTGGGCATCCAACCCATTGAGTGACTGCTGTGGGAGTAGGATAAGGCCTGGAAATGGGTGAGGAGTGGCCAAAGGAGGGATTAGACTCCTAAGTGTGTGAGCCAAATATTTCCTTTTCTGAACACCCCTGCTAATAGCTCTGTTCTCATACGAGTTAAGTCTGTATTATAATTGTGTTTGTTGGCCAGCCATGGTGGCTCACACCTGTAATCCTAGCACTTGGGAAGACTGAGGCAGGTGAATCATTTGAGCTCAGGAGTTCGAGAGCAGTCTGGCCAATATGGTGAAACTCTGTCTCTATAAAAATACAAAAATTAGCCAGGTATGATGGTGAGTGCCTGTAATCCCAGCTACTCAGGAGGCTGAGGCAGGAGAATCACTTGAACTCAGGAGGTAGAGGTTGCAGTGAACCGAGATCATGCCACTGCACTGTAGCCTGGGGAATGGAGTTAGAATCCAGCTTAAAAAATAAAATTACGTTTGTGTACCTGTTTCTCCGAGGGGCCTTAGGGACTGTGAGGTTTTCTTCTTTTTATAACAAATCCCCTGGGTCTGTTGGATGAAACTGAATCCCCAGATGGCAAATGTGTGGGCAGTAGCAACCTTACTATCCTCTTCAATACATGCTCACAGAAGCCAACACTTGTCCAGACTTGAGGGCTACTGTGATAGATTTACCTGGTCCCATCTAGGGCAATTCTTGTAAGAATGGGATGCTGCAATCTAGATAACTGCAAAAGTACAGCTGAGTCTGGAGAATCCCAGCTTATCATCTGTAATTTTTTTCTTTTTTGAGACAGTGTCTTGCTCTGTTGCTCAGAGTGCAGTGGCATGATCAAAGCTCACTTCAGCCCCAAACTTCTTGGCTCAAGCAATCCTCCCTCCTCAGCCCCCAAGTAGCTGGGGCTACAGGTGTGCACCACCATGCCCAGCTATTATTTTTATTTTTTGTAGAGATAGGGTCTCGCTATGTTGCCCAGGCTGGTCTTGAACTTCTGGGCTCAAGGGATTTTCCTGCCTCAGCCTCCCAGAGTGGTGGGATTATAAGCATGAGCCACCATACTTGGCCCATTTAGCACTTTAAAAAGTGTTTATAGGCGGGTGTGGTGACTCACACCTGTAATCCCAGCACTTTGGGAGGCTGAGGCAGGCAGATCACAAGGTCAGGAGTTTGAGACCAGCCTGGTCAATATGGTGAAACCCTGTCTCTATTAAAAATACAAAAAAATTAGCTGGGCATGGTGGCACATGCCTGTAATCCCAGCTCCTTGGGAAACTGTGGCAGAAGAATTGCTTGAACCTGGGAGGTGGAGGTTGCAGTGAGCTGAGATCGTGCCACTGCACTCCAGCCTGGGTGACAGAGTGAGACTACATCTTAAAAAACAAAAAGGGTTTATAGGCATTTCCCCATTTTTCACCACTGCAAACATGTTATTCCATTTTACAGATGAAGAACCTACCTCAGGGAGCTGAAGTAATTTGACCAAGGTCACACAACATGTGAAAGGAGCTAGTTTCTCCCTACCATCCCTAAGGAAGATCCTTTCATTGCTTTGAGGGAGTTATGTCTCCTCCTAAGCATCCTAGGTTCTCTCCAGGCCTCAGAGCCTTACCAGTGGGAATCAATGCTCCTTCCTTCCTCAGAAAAACAGAAACTGTGTACCTACTATGCAGAAGTCATCCTTCCTCCTCCCTTACAAACACCTGCTCTTAGAAAAACACCAGCACCAGCATAATGAGAACTTGTCTCCACAAAAAATTAAAAAATTAGCTGGATGTAGTGCTGTACACCTGTAGTTCCAGGTACACAGGAGGTTGAGGTGAGAGGATCACTTGAACCCAAGAAGTCAAGCTTGCAGTGAGCTATGATCATGCCACTGTACTCCAGCTTGGGTGATGAAGACCCTGTCTTTGAAAGAAAGAAAGAAGTAAAAAAAAAGAGAGAGAGATGGGGAGAGTGAGAGAGAGAGAGAGAGAGAGAGAGAGAGAGAGAGAGAGAGAGAGTGAGAGAGAGAGAGAGAGAGAGAGAAGGCACCAGCATAACAGTCATTTACTCCTGAAGTAAGTAAAGAAATGCACCTACTTTCTCACTGTATAACATATGCTTTATTTGAATTCACAGAACTGGGTTCAATTTCTGGTTCCACCAGTTACTGGCTGTAAGATCTCATGTAACTCAATCACTCTGAGCTTCAGTTTCCTTTTCTTCAAAACTGTGGTAAAACTAATATAACATAAGGTCTTTTATTTTTTTTTTTTTAGATGGAGTCTGGTTCTGTCTTCAAGGCTGGAGTACAGTGGTACAATCTCGGATCACTGCAACCTCTGCCTCCTGCGTTCAAGCCATTCTCCTGCCTCACCCTCCTGACTAGCTGGGACTACAGGTGGGTGGCACAACACCCTGCTAATTTTTTGTATTTTTATTTATTTATTTATTTATTTTTGAGACAGAGTCTTGCTCTGTTGCCAGGCTGGAGCACAGTGGCGCAGTCTTAGCTCACTGCAACCTCAGCCTCCCGGGTTGAAGCGATTCTTCCGCCTCAGTCTCCCAAGTAGCTGGGACTACAGGCACATGCCAAACACCCGGCTAATTTTTGTACTTTTAGTAGAGATGAGGTTTCACAGTGTTAGCCAGGCTGATATCGAACTCCTGAACTCATGATCTGATTGCCTCGGCCTCCCAAAGTGCTGGGATTACAGGTCTGAGCCACCGCACCCAGCCATCCTCCATAGGATTTTTTTTAAAGCCCATGTTTCTATGCCATTTGACTAATGACTTGGCAAATACACTTGGTTATTTATCAATCACAGTAATGTGTGCTGCTTCCCTAGAATACTTGATCAATAGCATCTTTCATATCTTCCCCAGTGTCATCCCTGTCATCTCCCCAAAAGTGTAGAATCTGGGCAGAGCTACAAAACACTTTTCCACCCCCCAGGGCAGTTATCTAGGTTACGCCTACACACCAGGTTGCCCCCAAGCTCTGGTCCCGCTGCCTATAATTCTTCTTCCCTGAGCCTTTATGTGGTTCCCTCTTGCATTCTTGGCATTCAGGATTCAGCTCACAGGTCACCTCATGAGGTTGGTTTTACCCAATGCCTTCCCTCTTCCAACAGCCTCTCTCCCATACTGGTCTCTGTTTTGTGTTTTCAGCACTTATTAGAGTTTGCAATTATTTTGTACTGTCTTTCTCCCCTGTTTAGAAGGTAAGCTACTTGAGGACAGAGACCTGTTCCTTCCTGTTCAGTGCTGTGTTCCCCAGGGCATATCAGCATCTGAAATATAACGGGGGAGCAATAAACATCTGTTCATCTGAATGAACATCCACCCAGGATGGGTTTCTATTAGTCACACTTTACAGACCACACTCTTCCAGGCTCAACTTTGAACATGCTTCTTCATTCATGTTGGGCATGGTTATACACATGAGCTCTGGACCTAGATGGTCTGCACTCAAACCCCAGCCCTCTTCTTACTCGCCAGCCTATTTTTCTACCTTTGAAGTGGAATGCTAATGTGAGGATTAAACTGTAAAATGCCTATGGTCATGCCTGTCTTGTCTTATTACTATTCCCCAGCATTGGGTACAATGCCTGGTACATATTAATACCCAGTGAATAGTTGCTAAATGGGGACTTTTATGGTGTAGCAATTAAGCTAGGCCTTCATTAGATACTGGGGTCAATTTTTAAAAACATCTCCCAGGACATTATAAACTGGGTGATGAGTGGTATACAAGCAAAAGTAAAAAAAAGTCCCAAGAATGGGATGACTGTTGAAGAAAGCAATACAACTCTTTGTTACCTTGGAATCTGGTTCAGAGTGATCATGGCTTTGGCATTCAGAAGTATGAGAGGGCCATAAGTGTGGCTGGTGGATGCAGGATTGAGCTAACTCTCATGGAATCAAGAGGAGGTGGAAAAGATAAAATGAAGATGGTGTTTTTTTCATGTGTGTTTTCATGGTGATGAAGAAAGCCTTGTTCTAGTTTCTGATTAATCAACAAGTCCCTGGTGAGTTTTGCCTAATCCCAGACGGACAGTCCCAGATCTTTTAAACTCACTTAAAGGTATAGCCGTCAATAGGCAGTTATATGCATAAATCATTCTTGGGACTTCCCCGCTAATAGAACTCATCTTTCTACAGATGAATTAGGGGGTACCATGAATCTCAGAGGTTGTTGTGAGGGCACGACATCATCCAAGTAGTCAGGGAAACTCTGGGAGGGTAAGGAAACAGATGTTACAGGAGGGCAATGGCATCCTGAGAGGAGGGAATGGAACAGGCTTCCATCACCAGAGGAGCTAGCTCTGGCCTTTGTTGCTCCAAAGTTAGTGACATGAGAAAGGTAAGTGCTGATGTTTTGGTAGTTGTGCCTTAAGTCTTTTATTGGGCAGGGGGTGGGGAAGAGCATAGGGGGGATTAACAATAGGACTGTATATATATATATATTTTTTTTTTGAGATGGAGTTTCACTCTTGTTACCCAGGCTGAAGTGCAATGGTGCGATCTCGGCTCACTGCAACCTCCGCCTCCTGGGTACAGGCAATTCTCCTGCCTCAGCCTCCTGAGTAGCTGGGATTACAGGCACGCGCCACCATGCCCAGCTAATTTTTTTTTTTTTTTGTATTTTTAGTAGAGACGGGGTTTCACCATGTTGACCAGGATGGTCTCGATCTCTTGACCTTGTGATCCACCCACCTTGGCCTCCCAAAGTGCTGGGATTACAGGCGTGAGCCACCACGCCCGGCTTTAGGACTATATTTTTAAAATATCTGGCTGACCTTACTGGTTTCTTTCTCCTCTCTTTGGTAGTCTCTGGGGCTCTTATGTGAACCTGTTTCAACTGCTGAGGCCAAATCTGCTCTATGTGTCACCCAGGGAGTCCCAGCTAAGAGTCCAAATGGATGAAATACAAAACATGAAGCAGGAAGGGGTCAGAATGCTAATCTGACCTCGGGTTCCTTGAGAGAAGTTAACCAGCTTTTTAAAATTTTTATTTATTTTTTTAAGAGACAGTGCCTTGCTATATTGTTCAAGCTGAACTTGAATTCTGGGCTCAAGTGAGCCTGGCTCTTGCGTCAGCTTTCTGAGAAGCTGGGACTATGGAAATGTGCCACTGCCCTTGGCTGGAACCAGCTTTTGAGGTACCCTTTGCCTTTGAAGAATCTAGGATGAAGTTCCTCTTACTTGAGGAAGCAGAGAGCGTCTAGAGGCTTTGACTGTGCTGCTTTCTAACCCATGAGCCTGCTGCTTCCAGAAGGGACACCCTATTAGTCTGCTCTCACACTGCTATAAAGAAATGCCCGACACTGGGTAATTTATAAAGAAGAGGTTTAATTGGCTCATGGTTCCACAGGCTGTACAGAAAGCATGATGCTGGCATCCACTGGGCTTAAGGGGAGGACTCAGGAAACTTACATTTATGGTGGAAGGCAAAAGGGGAATGATCACCTCACAAGGCTGGAGTAGGAGGAAAAGAGAAGTGGGGAGAGGTGCCATATACTTTTTTTTTTTTTTCCCAGACAGTCTCACTGCTGCCCAGGCTGGAGTGCAGTGGCACGATCTCGGCTCACTGCAACCTCTGCCTCCTGGGTTCAAGTGATTCTCCTGCCTCAGCCTCCCAAGTAGCTGGGATTATAGGCATGCACCACCATGCCTGGCTAATTTTTGTATTTTTAGTAGAGATAGAGTTTTGCCATGTTGGCCAGGCTGGTCTCAAACTCTTAACCTCAGGTGATCCACTGGCCTTAACCTTCCAAAGTGCTGGGATTATAGGTGTGAGCCACCGTGCCTGGCCAGTGCCATACATTTTTAAACAACCGGATCTTGTAAGAACTCACCATCACTAGAAGAGAACCAAAGGGACGGTGCTAAACCATTCATGAAGGATCTAACCCCAAGATCCCATCACCTCCCACCAGACCCCATCTCCAACACTGGGGATTACAATTCAACATGAGATCTGAGTGGGGGTACAGATCCATATCAGATAGCAAAGTGCCTTTCAACAGGCAGAGCCCTTTCATTACCTCCAGAAAATAATATAAATGGAGGGATTTCCCCTCTGGGGTCCCCTTCCCCCACCTCTCTCCCAGAAGCTTTTCCTCTTCCTCTCCTTTTTCTCTTTCTCTACTTAAATAAATCACTTTCTGCAAAATAATAATAATATAAATGGAAATTCAGGCATATATGTATCTCAGAAGCCAAGGGGATATGTAAAAATGGGAAATTTGAGAACACCTGAAAACTATGATTTTTTTTTTTAGACGGAGTTTCGCTCTTGTTACCCAGGCTGGAATGCATAGTTACCCGGCCAACTATGATTTTTTTTTTTAAACACCTTCTGCAGGGCCAGGCGCGGTGGCTCACGCCTATAATCCCAGAACTTTGGGAGGCCGAGGCCGGTGGATCACGAGGTCAAGAGCTCGAGACCATTCTGGTCAACGAGGTGAAACCCCGTCTCTACTAAAAATACAAAAATTAGCTGGGCATGGTGGTGCGCGCCTGTAGTCCCAGCTACTCGGGAGGCTGAGGCAGGAGAATTGCTTGAACCCAGGAGGCGGAGGTTGCGGTGAGCCGAGATCGTGCCATTGCACTCCAGTCTGGGTAACAACAGTGAAACTCTGTCTCAAAAAATAACAACAACAAAATAAACAACAAAAAAACACCTTCTGCAGATCTAAATTCCCATCTATAGTTTGCTCCAAAAATAACTGCATCTGGTATCTTAGAGGTGTTGAAGGCCTAGAAGAAAAGGGAAGTGGGGACGAGAAAGGAATTGTTATCCTCTTGATTTTATGAGTAAAATACAAAACCTTCAAAGAAAGATACACTTTCGTAATTAAAATCATTTTGTCAATATTCACTTCTTGGGAGGAGGAGAAGAGAACCTGAGGCTATAGCGGAGACAGCTGATACAGTAACTGGAGCCAACATGGCAGTAATTCCCAGCTTGAGGAAGGAGAACCTGCATCCTTAACCTCCACTTGAGTGTCAACAATGAAGAAAGCCCCCCTTTTCCTCTGCTTGTCTTCCAGAGTATTCTGAAGACCGCTTCAGTTAACAGGAAACGGGATGGTTTCCAACAGGACCAAGGGTGGAAAAGGAAGAGCTACATGGTGCGCATAATTTCAGGGGTCCTTGTGGACTGAGCACAACCTAAGTTGGAGGCAATAGTAGTAGGAGCCTTGGCAGCATCAGTAACGATCGTACCTCAGTGAGAGCTCCCTATCTCTGCGCCAGGTATTTGCATCACTTCATTCAATCCTAACAAACCGCCTAGATTATTCCCAATGAGAAATGAGGAGAAGCTGAGGCTCAATTGAGACGCTCAATGGCAGGCGAGTTGCAAAACCATTCCGTTGGACCCACCCGTAGAACCACTCTCAGGCAGCTTCTAGCTTGGGATTCCCATACGGCATTCACTCCAGAAACTGTCCTATCCAGTCTGGAATCGCCTTACACCCCGCGTAGCGGAACGGCCTTCAGTCGGCTCTCAGCGGAACTTTCCTCTCCGCGGCGCTTGTTCCCGTCCGTGCGGTCGGGCGCGCGGGCCGGGAGGGGGACACTTTCTGGCGCGGACCGCGAGCGGAGGCTGGCGAGCGCCGCCGCCGGTGGAGACCGACGCTTGGCCAGAGCCAGCCCGCGGCGCCCGGGCCTGGCCGGCTGCTTCCCGCCTCAGCCGCCGCCCCCGCCCCCGCCGCCGCAGACTCTGCCTTGGCGGGCGCAGCGGAACGTGAGGTTCCTCGGCCCTGTGCGGTCCGGCGCGGCCCGGAGTCGCGGCGCAGGAGGTGAGAGCCGGTGCCGGTCCCTCGTTCCCGGCCAGGGCCGCAGGGTCCCGCAACAATGGGGACCGACTGGGGACGCGGCCTGGGCTCCTGGCATGCAGTGGCTCTGGGCAGCTAGATGGACCCAGCTGCCTGGGCCTTCGGGGCACGGGGTCCAACCCGGGAAACTCCAGTGGCCGGAGGCTTGGCGGGGGTCTTGGGCCTCGACCCGGGGCCTCAGTGCCTTGATATTTGAGGATTTCGTAGCCGGGGAAGGGAGTCATAGGGACACGGGGACTTAACTGTGGTCGCTGTGCATTCATGGCGCTGGATGCTGGCGGCCGGGTGGATGACCAGAGCGCGGTGTGGGGTAGGGGAAGTATATGGATTTTTAGGGGCCTCTGTGTATCTAATCCCTAAGGCGCATCTGGATTGCGTCTCCCCCACCCCCTCTCCTGAGGTCTGGGAATTTGGCAGATAGGGGTCGGGCTGGGGTAGAAGAGGCATTGAGAGTTTAGCTTCTCTGAGGTAACTGGTGATTAGTTCCTGGAAAGGCAGGAGCTCTGCTGGGCACAGGAGAGTTAAGCAGAGAGCTGGATCCTCCGGGGCTCTGATGCACCCTGACGAGGAGTGGTTCTAGACAGGGAACTTATCACAGGAGTGAGTAGTGACGCACGGTGAGTAGTGCTAGCTGTCTTGTCGTTAGGGTGAGGCCGGTGGGAGTTGTGGTTTGGGGAGTGTAGAGGAGACTTGATAGTCGACTAAGATTGGAGAATCAGCTTTATGTGGGCCATGGTGGTGGCAGCCTGAGGAGATGAACAAGGAAACTTTGCACAGTGGGCTTCCTGATGGAGAATGACCTCTTACTGCGTGGGAGTGGGTGACTCAGATCTGTTAGGATTCCTGTTGCTTGCTAGGGAATGTGGCTGACTATACTGGTGGCTGAACATTGAGGTGGATACAACTGGAAGGGTTATGTGAGGCTGGATGAGTTTGTTCCCATGCAGAGGACAGTGTGGACCTTTCTTACTCCAAGTCTGAATAGTGGCTGTCATTGACAACATTTTAAGTAAGGAAATTTCTCTGTGGCATTTGGATCCAAAGCTTTTCTCTGTTCTTCAGTTTTTTCTTTCTTCCGTTGTTTTTGAATTGTGACTCATACTTTCTTTTCAGCACTGTGGCTATTGTTTGTAATGATAGACAGACTTAGACTTCATCATACATGTAAGTTCCAGGCATTTTCAGTCCAATTCTTATAAATCTAAATTAATTTAAAAGCTTGTTTTCACTAATTTGTGAGCCATTGTTTAATGTATGCAACACTAAAGAAGGATACAATAACCCTAACATTTATGTTATTAAATGCTCTGTCCATCCTTAAATCCTTGAAATTTCATTTTCTCTTACTGCCATGAAGTGAGTATGTTAACTCTGCTCAAACTTAGTGACTCTCGTTTCAGCATCCTTGTTTACTCTCACAGGACATTGTCTTCACTAGAAGTATTATCCACCTTCAATGGATGTACACTGTCTCCCTGTGACAATCTGTATCATTGAAAGACAGTGTGCAAACTCCATCTCTGAGGGTTGCAGCTGTGGGCCAGAGCTCTGTATGTATTATTCAGGCAAAAGTTGGTGGGTTATCTGTAGGTGAGATGTTAAAGGGAATGCTACATAAACAAAAACAGTATCGGAATCATTGTACCTTCTGAGTTTAGAGTTGTAGGAAGTATAGCCTAACTGTAGTCTAGTAAAAATTTTCAAGTGTGATGTTAGGTAATTCTGTTTGTAGTTGGACTGATAGTTCTTATTACTGTAAACATTTTTTTTTCCTTAAGTTTTAAATGATTATTTTTCTTCAGTAGTATTCTTTCTCTCTTGGCTGGGTGTCGTGGCTAACACCTGTAATCCCAGCACTTCGGGAGGCCAAGGCAGGTGGATCACATGAGGTCAGGAGTTCAAGCCTGCATGGTGAAACCCTGTCTCTATTAAAAATAAAAAAAGTAGTTGGATGTGGTGGCACATGCCTGTAGTCCCAGCTACTCGGGAGGCTGAGGGAGGCACAAGAATCACTTGAACCTGGGAAGCAGAGGTTACAGTGAGCTGTGTCACTACACCAAGCCTGGGTGATGAAGCAAGACTCTTGACTCAAGAAAAAAAAAAAGTAGTATTCTTTCTCTCTCTACATTCATTCTTTCATAAACCAACATTTATTGCATTATGCCAGGCACTGCTTTGGGCACCTTCACAATGCTGATGATATTTTTAACATTTTGGTAGTGGTAGTTCCTGGTTTAGAGGTTGCTATAGGTCTATGAAGAAAGAAGTGATTCAGGTATATCAAACTTTTAATCATTAAAACCATTGAATAAAGTTTTTATGATGTATTAATTATAAACAATTATCTTAACATTTAATGTTAACATTAATGTGACAATTATCCTAACATTTCCATGGAATAAGTTTAGCTATCACCGTGAGTTCATTTTAGTATGGGATTATTTTTGCATTATTTTTTACACCTGTTAAATTTAAGTACTCCTGTAGACAAACCACAGTGTGTTTGAACATTTTGTTCAAACATTTTGTTTTGGTGTGTGTCTCAATGAGCAGTGATTTATAAATACTGTATGTGTTCAGGTTCCCCAGGAAGCCATCACACTCCTTCCTACTGTGGTTTTGGGAGCATGAAGGCGTTGCTTATCCCCTATGTCTGGTTCACTGTATGTAGGCTGGGAGTGTCTGCTGATCACTTGGAGTGCTGTCCCTTGGAAAAGAAGGAGTAAGGATTGAGGTAAGGCTCAGTCTTTTTGAAGTCACTTGCCTCTTAAGTTTTACTGCATAAAATATAATATAAATCTGAATTTTTTTTGCTTTATTACTCTTCATTCAAGATCTAGTAAAATGAAATTCTGCCTTTTGCTGTCTTCTCTATTTCTCTATATATATCTTGGGTAAAAATAAATGAAGAAATGTAAAATCAAGGTGTTTAGATTATAAATAAATTCTTCAAAATATCCCTCATTTTCCATCTGGACTCTTCACTTTATCAAAGAAAATAAAAACTTGTTTATTTGTTGCCTTGTAGGCAAGGTGATTGCGTAAAGACACATTTTTGGCCACCTCTTAGTTAAATGGATCAACTTCAGAAACTCTTGGAAATAAGGCTTAGAGTTTTCTATTTCTTTAGAAAAAGTCTGAGAGAAGTGCCTAGTCCATTGGGAAGAACTTGGTTTTTGGAGTTATCCTACTTTTTCTTGCTCAATTTTTGACCCTGGATAAACTGTTAACCTCTCTGAGCTTTGGTTTTGTTTTGTTTTTCCATCTGTAAAATGGGCCTAATATAATGTTCTTTGCAGGTTGCATTGAGGCATGGAGATGAGGGTCTCGAGCTTTGAGGGTGGTCAGTGCTGGCTGTTAGTAGTAATGTGTATTATTATATAGGACCTCTAATCTTAGTAGTATTAGTAGTAGTAGGAATGTGGCTGAGTGCTTTGGTGCTGTGCAGGGTTCAGGGGCTCAGTTTCCATGTCAGGTGATGAAGGCAACTGTCTGCACCTCCTGGTGCTCTGGACAGGTGAGGGAATTTTGAGGATGTCTTTATTCAGTGCTGGTAGGCAGGAGTCCGTACTATAAAGTCCAAGGTCATTCCTGGCAGTAGAAGGTTTTTTCCTGACAGTTTGTATGGAGAAGCCAGGAGGTAACTGTGTGGCATGTTCTCGTTTGGGAACAATGGGCATTCCCATTGACAGAACACTGGTGTATACCAGGCATCATTGTGTTCTATATTGCCCCTGATCAGGACATTTCTCTAGCTTTCTTCTGCCAGCACCAGAGACCTGGCTTTGGTGTTTTTGCCAGGAATTCTCCAGATGCAGGAGAGATTTGTCATCTTTTTTAATTGGGGCTACTTTGGTAGAATCTAGCACTCTGTTCAGACATGTTTTTGATGAACAGACGGCTCACAGACTTTGTTATAGAATTGTTCAGTTTTATTTTTTCCCAATAAGAAAGGGAAAAAAGTCCCACTAATATTCAAGAGAAAAATAAGTGGAGGCCAGAAGTGATTTGAAATAACTGGTCCTTAAGCTCTTCCAGTCTTGCCTTAGTCAAATGCCCCCTCCATTCCCGTGGTGTTTAATTCCAGTTAAGAGTAAATAATATACTTCTGGGTCTCAAACATCTAGACCCTGTTCTGTCTCTGCTTCAGCATCTCATAAGGACCTTTATGACCTTGCCCCTTTATCTTCCTTTCTAGTTTTTTCTCTGCCACAGTTCCTCTGGCACTTAAGGCTCAGTTTTACTGACCTCCTTAAAGGTCCCAGCATTCTCAGGCTATTTCTTCTGCTAATTTTGCTCTTCATTCTACAGCTTGGCTGACTCTAAGGCTTGAACCAGGAGTTTAGGCACCACCTTCTCTTAATAAAAGGCTTCCTTGATTCCCTCCAGGTTCAGCAGAATGCCTCTCTTCTGTATGACATTGCAGTCTATGCAAGCTTTTATAATCACACTGTCCTGCTAAGTTTTGGTATTTTTTAAAAATTATTTTTATTTTTTTCCTCAAATTCCTTTTTACCATGTTTTGGTATTTTTGTGTGTTTCCCATGCCTAGTTTATTATCTACTTGAAGGCAGGACCTTGTCTTGTTTATATCCCAGCACCTGACCATTTCTGGCACAGGGTAGCTACTTGGCAAATGTTTGTTGAGTGAACAAGTGAATGACCCCTGCTTATGAAATAACAGGAAACCATTCGTTGTGGAGCTAGTGGTGTGATGAGAGTTCTGACTTCATGACTGCATCTGATCCTGGCTGAAGTAGTACCTCTGCCTTTGTATTTCCAGGTAGTTAAAGGCAACACTTTGTTATGAAAATGTGTTGCTTATTCATTTGTTCATAATTTTGAAGCTGGAGGCTATTACTTGCTATTTTTTTTTTTACAAGAAAATGTCTTGCAAACATTTTCATTGGGAGAAAATGTCTTGCAAACATTTTCTTTGGGAGAAAAATGTGACAATTCTTCATTGGTATTATCTGCGCTTCTGCAGGCCATTGACTGCTCTGAGTGCTTTGTCCTCATATGTAGAGAAGTATCTAGTTAGCCTGGGCTACAGGGTATCCAGACAACTGCTGGTAAGCTGCCACCTGCTGGGAATGGGTAATGATTGATTGAATGATTGATTGGAGATGTCTTGCTTTGTTGCCCTGGCTGGAATGCAATGGCATGATCTAGGCTCACTGCAACCTCCATCTCCTGGGTTCAAGCTATTCTCCTGCCTCAGCCTCCCAAGTAGCTGGGACTGAGCGCATGCCATCATGCCTGGCTACTTTTGTATTTTTAGTAGAGACAGGTTTTCTCCATGTTGGCCAGCCTCTCACAGTCCGGGGATTACAGGCTTGTGCCACCATGCCTGGCCTGTAGGATACATTTCTATAAGTAGAATTTCTGTGTCCAATGTTATGCATGTTTAAAATTTTGTTAGATATTATGAAATTACTTTCAACAACTTGTATCAATTTATATTTCTCACCTAGCACTGAACTTTAATATTTTAATTAATTAATTAATTAACCTAGGTATCTAGCTATACTTGCTAGAATGGGAATCAATTTATTTATTTATTTTTGTTTTAAAGACAGGATCTGACTCTGTTTCCCAGGCTGCAGTGCAGTGGCACAATCACGGCTCAGTACAACCTCTGTCTCCTGGGTTCTAGTGATCGTCGCACCTCAGCCTCCTGAGTAGCTGGGATTACAGGTGCTCACCATCATGTCCATTTTTTGTAGAGATGAAGTCTCACTATATTGCCCAGGCTGGTCTTGAACCTCTGGGCTCAAATGATCCCACTTGTCCTCCTGGAGTGTTGGGATTACAGGTGTGAGCTACCATGCCTGGCTGGGAATCAATATTTTGAATCATTGCCAGTTTGAAGCCTAGGTAACTAATTTTTATTTAAATTTCCTTATTGAAGAGGATGAACATCTTTTCATGTGTTTATTTCATGTATGTATTCATTTCTTGTCCTTTGTCAACTTTTTGGCTGGTTTATTTTGTTGATTTGTGAGAATTTTTTGACTGTTAGGAATTTTAACTTTGGCTTTAATAATAATTATTATAGCAGCTCACATACTGTATATAGGCATGCTTTGCAGATATTGCAGGTTTAGTTCTAGACCATTGCAATAAAGCATATAGTGCAATAAAGCCTGTTAAACACATTTTTTGGTTTCCCAGTACATATGTAAGTTACGTTTACATATGTTTACAGGCTTGGCATAGTGGCTTATGCCTGTAATCCCAGTACTTTGGGAGGTAGAGAAGGGAGGATCACTTGAGGCCAGTTTGGGCAGCATAACAAGACCCTGTCTCTACAAAAAAGATTTTAAAAAGTATCTGCGTGTTGCAGTGTACACCTGTTTAGTCCTAGCTACTCTGGAGGCTGAGGTGGAAGAATCACTTGCCAGCCCAGGAGTTCAAGGCAGCAGTATGTTATGATTGCACCACTGCACTCTTGGGGATGGGCACGGCCTGGGCAACAGACCAAGATCCCATCTTAGAGGAAAAAAAAATTATGTTAACACCATGCTATAGTCTATTAAGAGCCTAATAGCATTATGTCTAAAAAAGCAGTGTTCATACCTTAATTTTAAAATGCTTTATTGCCAAAAAATGTTAACAGTCACCTTAGCCTTCGGGACTTGTAATCTTTTTGCTGGTTGAGAGTCTTGCCTAGACATTGATGGCTGCTGACTGATCAGGGTGGTGATTGCTGAAAGTTGGAGTAGCTGTGGCAATTTCTAAAAATAAGACAACAGTGAAGTTTGCTGCATTGATCAGCTTTTCCTCTCATGAAAGGTATCTCTGTAGGCTGGGCGTGGTGGCTCATACCTGTAATTGCAGCACTTTGGGAGGTGGATCACCTGAGGTCAGGAGTTCAAGACCAGCCTGGCCAACATGAAGAAACCCTATCTACTAAAAGTACAAAATTAGCTGGGTGTGGTGGCGTACGCATGTAATCCTAGCTACTTGGGATGCAGGAGAATCCCTTGAACCTGGGCAGCGAATGTTGCAGTGAGCCAAGATGGTGCCATTGCACTCCAGCCTGGGCAACAAGAGCGAAACTCCGTCTCAAAAAAAAAAAAAAAAAAAGAAAGATGAAGAAATCAAAATATTTTACCCCAAAATATATTTCTATGCAGTATTTTGAAATGTGCAAAACCATCTTTTGTGGTGGAAAATTTGCATCTGTAAAAAAATCTCTATGAACACAACTAGATCTTTTCCCTTCCAGGCCCTCCTAGTCCTGAAGAGATTACCTGAGTCTAGTACCTTTTAAAGGTCTGAATAGGCCAGGTGCGGTGGCTCAAGCCTGTAATCCCAGCACTTTGGGAGGCTGGGATCACGAGGTCAAGAGATCGAGACCATCATGGTCAACATGGTGAAACCCCATCTCTACTAAAAATACAAAAAAAATTAGCTGGGCATGGTAGCGCGTGCCTATAATCCCTGCTACTCAGGAGGCTGAGGCAGGAGAATTGCCTGAACCCAGGAGGCGGAGGTTGCGGTTGAGCCGAGATCGTGCCATTGCACTCCAGCCTGGGTAACAAGAGTGAAACTCTGTCTCAAAAAAAAAGGTCTGAATAGGAAACATTTACCATCTGTTGTCTCTAAGGGCGCCACCTTTAAGACTTCATCTACATAATAAGAACCTTGGTCTCCACTATCCCTGGTCTTAACTCAGACACTCATTTCTTTTCTTTTTTTTTGAGACAGAGTCTTGCTCTGTCACCCAGG